ACCGGGTTGTTTGAGAAGTTTTTATTTCTGGACTTGTTAAACTTCTTGAGAACTCGGTTAAAATTCTTTGTTAGTAGTGCAATTGACTGTTTCATGGTTTCTGAATCAGTTTCTGAGTTCTCTTCTTGTCTGGACTGTAATGCTATTCCTTTACCATTCTTTTTCTGACCTTATAGCATCTCCAGTTCATAGGTTTGAAGATTTCCGATTAGGTCACTTATTCTGTATATATTCAGATCTTTATGCTCTTGAATAGCGGTGACTTTCATTTGGAATCTTCCCGGTAGTGAGCGTAGAACCTTTTTGACGATCCTATGTTCGGGTATAGGTTCGCCTAAGTTGAATGCGTCTCCAGATATACTTAAGACTCTGGCACTGAATTGGGTGATGCTTTCTTCCTCCCCCATTTTCAGGTTTTCAAATTCGGTTTGTATCATCTGAAGCTTCGATTGTCTTACAGTTGTGTTTCCTTCATGATGATCGCACAATATACTCCACGCAATTTTGGCTATGCGTGTTGATGCAATTAGTTTAAAAGTGTCTTCGCTTACTGCCCCATATATTGCATTCATAGCTTTTGAGTTGAAATCATATTCGGTTTTCTCTTCTTCGCTCCAATCAGTTCTAGGTTTTGCATTCCCTTTATCATCAACTGGAGTTTTCCATTCGTTTTCTATTGCATTCCAGACGCCTTCTCCTTGTGCTAGAATGTATATCTGCATTCGAGCTTTCCAGTAGGAGAAGTTTGTGCCAAGTAGAGCTGGGGGTCTATTGTTTGAAAGACCTTCTCTTGGGAACTCCATTTGGATCCTGCTGGTAACTTGAGCAGACCCGCTCTGATACCAATTGAAATTAATATAGATGTTTGAATTCGGTAACGTTGAAACAGACGTAGTGACACAAATATTTATAACGCAGTTTCGGGCAAACAGCCCTAATCTGCGAGGCACTTCTCAAATTGAGAATTAGCCTAAATCCACTAAAAGCTCAATATTTAAAGTACACTTGGTTTAGGGAACGGGGATTACACAATATGATTTCCTATCAAGCTATTGAGACCTAAACACTTGTACTACTTTTCAAGGGGATTTGGGTATCTCTCTCAATTACTCTCGTGCTCACGATTAGGTGCTGAAAGCGTAAGAAGAGGAGTTGTGATGCATCTTCTTTTATAAGCCGAGAGTTATTGATTGAATGGGAATAGGGTTGCTAATCCTATTTAGATTAGGAATTGAATTCCTAATCCTTGTTTGACTTGATGATCCCCTTTTGTCTAGAATTTGACAAACTTGTCAACAAAGATGAAGTGGTAAGATATATAGGGAACGTTATGCTGTGGAATCGTGCTCACCTTGCAAGGTGGACACGATTCCATATTCATAATTTCTATACTATAAATTCATAATTTCTATATTGTAGATTCATAAAATTTATACTTTAGATTCATAATTTTTAAACCGTAAATTCATAATTTAAATACAGTAAATTCATAATTTCTATACAGTAGATTCATAATTTTTATACTACAAGTTCATAATATCTGTACTATAGATTCATAATTTCTAAACTGTATAGTTATCAAATTATGAACATATAGTTCTGTGATTTGTGAAAACAGAGTTCAACAATTGTGAATATGAACATCGAAAATTATGAACATATAGCTCTATAATTATGAATCTATAGTATAAAAATTATGAATATGAAATCGTGCCCACGTTTCCACAACATAATTTGCCGATATATAGCGAGCTATAAAGGGCTGAGATTCCTAATGCTTGAATTTCTTTGAGAAGTGATAAAAGGAGTCCGTCAAAGAAAGTGGGATTATATTATATTCGCGGCTAACTCCGCAAAATCAAACATTTATTATAAATATTTTATTAGTGGCCATTAAACCATTAGACATTTCAATAGCCTAGCCTTTAATCATGTATTGATGTTGAGTATGTGAAAGGTTGTATGAAACCTTATATAATGGAGTGAAGGCTAATGAAATGACACACATATTGTTGTGCCCTACATTTGGTGTTCTTCTTCTTCTCCTCCTTTTTCTCTTCTTTACGTATACACGCATACATATATATGAACCTCCGGGCGAGTTACCGTGCAAACATCACGTGAGAACTGAGCTAGTTGATAGGCCAAACTATAACAACATTCAATTTATTTATTTTTATTATTTGTCAATCTCAATTAAGTTAGTTGGATGGGCATGCAACATCCGTCGTTATATCGTGGACTGCGGTGCACGTGCACCGTGGTCAAAACGACGCCATTTCTTTAAGTAAAGAAACAGTGCGCCGTTACTGTTAACGGAGCGCGTATTTTTTGGTGTGTTAATTATCAACTGAAACTACTGTGTATCTAAACTGACACTATGTACAATGTATCTAAATCGACACTGCCTCACGTATTATTTTATATATTATCAAATGAAACTGCAGTTATATCAAAATGATACTGTAGTTGTGGTGAAATGAAACTGCAGTTTATATAAAATGAAACTGAATAACATTTCACATATTTGCGTGTATATAGTGCAATGAAGTTGTAGTTATATCAAAATGATCATGAAGTTGTGTTTTAATGAAACTATAGTGTACATAAAATAAAATTAAATAACATTTTCACATATTTGAGTGTATAAATATCGAATGAAATTGTAGTTGTGTTGGACTGAAACTGCAGTGTATTCAAAATGAAACTGAATAACAGAGTTACTTTTTGCGGAACGGGTGCCGTTTCATTTCATTAAACAAAATGATGTCGTTTTGAAGTTCGATGTATAATCAATTATGCACCGCGGTGCACGATATAATTTACCATGCAGCATAGTTGCAGCACAATTAGCTGATTTTATAGAAGGGCATGCAGTATAGTTAATTGATTTTATAAAAATCATTTAAAAAGCACTCAAACATAGTATCTATTCTATACTTTCTTAAAGTACTAGAGCCGAAAGGGTTTGATCCTGTAATCTTTTTTCAAGGAGAGCCACATAAGTGCCATATGAGCACAAGGTGTTTGGCAAAGCATTCAAACTATAAATCTTAATCCAACAAAAATACTCAAACAGTCTAGATGAAAACACTCCAACAGTACAGTTTAAATCTTATCTTACAACAATAAAAGCAACACTTACAAATTCTTAATTTTACTAACATAAAAATTCAAACAATTAAACTTTACAAAAAGAAAAACACTCAAATAGATTAAATCTTACTCCAAAACACTTAGGTTATGTTTGGTATAATAGTTAGTCTATAAACAACAAATATGAGTGTTTGGTCAATTTATTGCTCCAAAACACTAAAATTCAAAAAGCTGCTCAAAGTAGCTTTTTCGATAAGCTTATTTTGTATGTAATAAGCTATCAGCTAACAACTAATTTACCCAACATATTTGGCTAAAGTGTCATCCTGTACCATGAACTATAACTGACTCTTCATGCCGCACCCTGATCTAGTGAAATCAAGTAGTAAAATCCACTAATCCAATCAGTTAACAACTATTTATCAAACACCAATTGTTATATCGTGGATCGCGGTGCATAATCGATTATGCACCGCGCGGTGCATAATCGATTATGCACCGCGCATCAAAACAGCGCGCTGTTAGTGTTAACGGAGTGACACTACAGTGTATCTAAACCGACACTGCCTCACGTATTATTTTTATATTATCAAATGAAAGTGCAGTTATATCAAAATGATGTTGTAGTTGTGGTGAAATGAAACTACAGTATATATAAAATGAAACTGAATAACATTTCACATATTTGAGTGTATATTGTACAATGAAGCTGTAATTATATCGAAATGATCATGTAGTTGTGTTTTAATGAAACTATAGTGTATATAAAATAAAATTAAATAACATTTTCACATATTTGAGTGTATAAATATTGAATGAAACTGTAGTTATATCGAAATGAAACTGTAGTATATCGAAATGAAACTGTAGTTGTGTTGAACTGAAACTGCAGTGTATACAAAATGAAATTGAAGAACAGAGTTATTTTTTACGGAACGGCGCGAAACGGATTCTGTTTCTTTTCATTAAATAAAACGACGTCGTTTGATGCCCAGTGCATAATCGATTATGCACCGCGGTAATTTTCTATCAAACACCCTTAAGCAATCTGATCCGCATTTGTCATCGCTAATCACTTGTGTGCTGCTCAATTACATTTTTTTTTTTAATAATCCAAAAACTAGTTCTTCGGCAAAGAAAAAAAAAATCAATAGAATTTTAACTAGGCATTCAAACCCTTAGATTTGAATAAACTAAGACTTAGATTCTAATAGTCTTTGGAAGGGGTACGTTTGCCATCTAAAGTTAGATATTCATAGTGAACTTACTAATCACATTCATATTTAAAATTTAAAATTATATTACTCCATAACATGCTAATATATAAAAAGGAAACCTTCTCAAAGTTTAATTTTTATTTAATTTGTAACTTAAAATAAATTATAAACTTTAAAATAAGCGCAGCACTACTAAACAGGGTTAATAATTAAGATAGTTAAATCAAAACTTTAAAATAAGCGCAGCACTACTAAACAGGGTTAATAATTAAGATAGTTAAATCTTTAATTTTGTCTTTCACCAAATTAAGCCCTCCCTCTCTCATTAGCAAGTTTTGCCTTAAATTGAAGTTGTCATTTTGCCCAATCTTTACAACGAAAACGAACTCCTATCATCGATGATCCCAAATCAGACTCCCCTTACTCGTCAACTCCAAATTAAACCTACTTTTCTCACATGCATATATAATTCAAACATGCATATATAATTCAAACATAGCATTCTGTTAAATCTTATTACTCAAGGAAAACATATTGTCCATAGTCTTGTACATTCTAACATCACTATGGCAAAAAATTGGAAATTCTTCAACTCCACCTACATCAAATTTTCTCCAAACCTTACTTTTCAAGTTATAAATCAAAATGGAAAGTTGTTTACTGTTTATAGATAACAACACAATCTTATTACTCCAAGGAAAACATATTGTCCATAGTCCTGTACATTCTAACATCACTATGGCAAAAAATTGGAAATTCTTCAACTCCACCTACATCAAATTTTCTCCAAACCTTACTTTTCAAGTTATAAACCAATATGGAAAGTTGTTTACTGTTTATAGATAACAACACAATCTCCCCAGCATGATTGGTAGTGAAGCGCAGGGCTCTAACTTCGTCGATTCTATATGGAATGATAGTAATAATTTTCTCCCAACATTTCTTAAATTTCTCCCAAGTCCAAACACCCATGTAGGATGAGCTTATTTCGAAAACAAGAACAATAGCCAGTCGACCTCCATCAACTTGTAGCAACCCAAATGCATGTGTATAATAATACTGTAATGAAATTTCATTTGGAAGAGGTATCTCAAAAAAACTCTCAGACCCGACTTCAAATGCCACTATACCAAAGCTAAGAGGGTGAACTTTAGTCAGCCAATTGCACTTATAGGAATAGATAACGCCATCAATGTAGACACTGGTATCGGAATAGTTAGCCCAAAAGCTAGCCCAATAGTTAGCGCAGCGATAGCCATCAAAGGTGTAAAGGAGGTGGGAATTGCTGTTGTTGTTATTGATCTCCCTCCACGATTTATCCACTCCCACCGTCAAAACCCAATGCTTATACTTGAAAAAGATGGTTCCATCCCTCCTGCCGTTTACTCGATCAATAGAAGTTGAGGCTGACATCAAAACTTTGTATCTTTTAGATTCTGAATCGAACCCTAATAGTGCACATGGAGATTCGACGTGGAATGGGATTCTTGGGAGGGAAATACGCTGTCCGGTACTAACGTTGCAAACGTCAACGTAGCTGTTGTTTTTGTGCAGACAAACCAGGCCGTCAGAGGAAGAGCGTAGATGGTCTACTACATAGGGTTGACCGTCCAAGTAGCGGGCACGGTTGGCTTGGAGCTGCTGAGGGTTTTTTTCGCTGAAATTTATGGTGTAAAACACAGGGGTGGAACGGGAGTGGTAGGGCGTTCGAGGTATGATAACAATGAGGATGCCCGCCCTATTGGGAAGCTTCAAGGACAAGCTGCGATGCAGAACGCCAAAGCCATGATCAGCTATGAGAGCGGAAAAGAATTTAGAAACGCACCTGAGTCGTACTAGGGATTTAGCAGGAAGCTTGGAGAGAATCTCCACGAGAATGTCTTTGGGGAGAAAAAGAAAAGGTAGCTTTGAAACACCCATCGTTGTCGTCTTCTCCGATGCGCTCATTGTATCCTACGAGGTTAATTTGCAGGAGTTTTAGGGTGGTGGGTACGGTTAATTTTGAGTATCCTCGTTCTAGCTAGCTAGATGGAGGATGCATGGAGTTTTTAAGGTTTTAAGGTACCTTGCTAAAGGCTGTCGTCTCAGATTTGAGTTATACTTAAACTAAAACTATCAGATCCCTACTCCTATTCATTCCGATACAGCTAATGTTAGTTGTAATCTATAAATTTAAGACTTTCTAATTAATGGGTATGTTTAAAAACGATAAGATATGAAAATGACTAGCCTTCAACGTATATTCTTTAATTTGGGCAACTTATTGCGCGCTATCCAATTATTTTTTAAAAAACTTTTTTAGGAAAAAGTCCAAATTAACCACTAAAACTATACTATCTATACTTCTATACTATATATAAAAAAAAATCATGAATTTAACTTTCCGTCCAATTTCTAACAAATATCCCTTTCTAATAAAATATATTGTTTTCCACTTTCCTATTCTTACTATAATTCTAGGTTAAAATTTATATTCTAATATTATAAAATAGTGTAATACAACTCCTAATAGAATATATTATTTCCTACTTTCCTATTCGTACTATAATTCTACACTAGAATTCCTATTCGTAATACAATAGGACAATATATATATATATATATATATATATATATATATATATATATATATATATATATATATATATATATATAAACAAAATCGTGAAATTTTAACTTCCCGCCCAATTCTTAAAAAATCTCTCTTCCTAATAAAATATATTGATTTCTACTTTCCCATTCGTACAATAATTCTGCGTTTAAATTCTATTCTAATATTATAAAATAGTGTAATACAATCTATACTATATATAAAAAAAAATCCTGAAATTTTAACTTCCCGCCCAATTCCTAAAAAATCTCTCTTCCTAATAAAATATATTAATTTCTACAATAATTCTGGGTTAAAATTTTATTGTAATATTATAAAATTGTGTAATACTATTCGTATTCTAATCTATATCTATTTTATATATCGGTGTTGCAATAATCGTGTCATTGGTCGCGGCGAGGAAGGCCGGAATCGGCCTCCTCAGCGGCCGCCTCGCCGGCTGAACCGGCCTTTAATTTTTATTTTTTTTTAAGTTGTAAAGTGTTGTCCGTTTTGGACAAATATTTTTTTGAAATCGCGTATTTTTTCGAGATCTATCCACCGCAAACTGCCGTAGGCGGTTTGGCCCACCAATTTCTAAAAAAAAATACTTTATTAAAGAGTTTCTAAGAAAAAACTATGAGAACCTTATGTTTTATTAATGAATTTTTAAAAATTTTAATTAAACAATTGTCCCGTGCATTATTTAATAATCTTTCTTTATAATTGGTCAAATTATTTAATTATGATAAATTTGGGAATAATTAATGATGGTAATAGAAATCCTAAAAGAATATAGAACTGAAGAATATTTAATTATTGTTATATTATTATTGTGACTCACGGAATACAAGAGTTAATGACATTTTTGGTCCTAGACTTATTGGGGCATTGACACTTTTCATCCTCCATAATAAAAATTGCCACTTAGTAGCCACTGTTATTGATTGTTGGACAATTTTGATCCTCCGTCAATGACGCCGTTTGTTGACTGTGAATTAGAAGGGTTTTTCTGTCTTTTTATGTTCTAATCCTTATATTTCTCCATCCATTGGTCACTGCTACATCCATTTCTTCAAACTGAGGTTATCCGCTTCAGTCCTTTCTAACATTAAGAAACCATCTTCACCCAACTAACAATCACGAATTTTACATTTGACATCAATCTCAAGATAATGGAAACAAGTGCAGTTGGAATAGAAAGGGCGTTAGTCCATGCCTGTGGAAATTTTGTCGAGCATACAACATAACTAGCAAAGTCAGGAATATCACCCAACCCCTCCCTTAACCTTTCTGCATCAACTATAATAGGTATGCCCCTACTCTTTGCCTCCTGCACTACAATCAAAGCAGTCTCATGCAGCCTTCCATCTAAGTAGACAATATTTACTCCAAGCGCTGAAGACAATTTTGATTTGGGTATGTAGACCCTCAGATATCATGGGTGGATATCCTGGAGTGAAAATGCACGTGCGAGTTTTTTTTTTTTTTTTTTTTTTTTTTTTGGTTGTCAACAATGACATATGTGAATGGTGAGTTTCCTCCTTTGGACACCACCATAAAAGATGTATCAACACCATCCCGAGTCATCAGCAACCTTAGATATGATCCTTGGATTAAGACCAAGACGAATTTTATCATCCGGGTTTTATCAAAGCATTGCCAGTGTTACCACCTCCTTGAACCTCAAAGCTGGTGCTCCGAATTTTATCATCCGGGTTGGGGAATGAAGCTACAGCAGTCAGGAAGTCAACACCGGCCATTCCAACACCTCAGACAATGCGATTTTTGGGGAGCGGCGGATTCCACATTTTCAACATGAAACTTCAATGAATTTCAGGGAGAATAACAGAGTTTTTGAGGTTGTGCACCAAGTAGTTGTGGTCAAAGAGAGAGAGATGGGAAGGATATTTGTGGTCAATATGGAAGGGAGGACTTACAGGTGCAAATTCTACATCACGCCATCTACCACTACAACTGCTATTTACCATAGGAGGGTTCGCCGACCTGCTGCCCTCTCTGCTTCGCCGGAACCAAAAACCACCGGTGAAGGCCCCAACCTCGCCGGATCTGTTGCTGCACCGCCAGATCTGCCTTACTGGTCCGTCGCCGGAAGGAGTTACTGCCTCGTATGCTCGCCGCCGTACCCACAACTCGCCGGAGAAGAACCTCGCTGCTACTCACTACCGACGGTTACTACTTAGCCGCCAAGTCTCGCCATCTCGCCTCACAGGAGTCACAGCAGCGCTGGTCTAAACAAGATTAGAAGAATAAGACATAAAAAGACAGAAAATCCCTTCTAATTCACGGTCAACAAACGGCTTCATTGACGGAGGATCAAAACTGTCCAACGACCAATAACAGTGTCTACTGAGTGACAATTTTTATTATGGAGGATGAAAAGTGTCAATGCCTCAATAAGTCTAGGACCAAAAATGACATTAACTCCGGAATACAATACAAGAATATTTAATTATGGTTATATTGTTATTGTGCCTCACGACCATTATATACTAACAGTACTTGAAAAGAAACTAATAATAATAATAATAATAATAATAATAATAATAATAATAATAATAATAATAATAATAATAATAATAATAATAATAATAATAATAATAATATAATAATAATAATAATATAAGTGGTAATAATAATATCTAAAAGTAATTAAGTGTTAATAATAATAGTAAGAATATTAACGTAAGAGTAGTAACATAGAATAAATTGTACTCCCTCTGTCCCATTTTGCCTGTCCTGTTAACTATTCATTGGTCAATCCAACTCTTTCTTCGTTGCTTATTTTCTTTAGTAATTTTTAATTATTTTTAAATTTGATTTTTTATGTTTAATAGTACTTTTAATGTAGTTTCTAAATATATAAATTTTATATATTAAAAATAAACTTAATATTATTAAAAATTGAAGTAAAAATAGCTTCAGTCAAGCCTCGTTAACCGAACCAGACAAACAAAATGGGACGGAGGGAGTAATAATTAATAAATATAGTCTAGGATTAAATTTGGAATTGTCAAGAAAGATAAACGACCTCTGGTGAAATTAACTCTTAAATAATTATATATCGATTTAAATATTCTTAATATATTACAACAATTCCATTCCGTGCATCGCACGGGTGAAAATACTAGTTATAATTAAAAGTAAAATCATTCTTCTAACATTTTTCCGCCAAAACTCATTGTATTGGTCAAATTATTTACTTAAGACAAAGGGGAGCCCGTCCCCTTTGTAAATGATGTGGGATCACATCAAAAATGTTGGGAAAGATGAGCTCTTGAGCTCCTCTATATTGCTCCTCTTGTCCATCAATGTAGGCCAGTATTGAGAAAGCCAAAAGGCTCTTATTTAAGAAGTCTTAGTTTAATTGCTTCTTATTTTAGTTTTTTTTTTTAAATTTTTTATTAGGGGTGTTTGGGAAACATTAACTCAAAATGTATATTTGTAGTTTTAGTTTTTAGCAGTTTGGAGAAAATTGCTGAGTTATTAAATAATATTTTTGGTGTTTTGATTAAAAACAAAATGTTAAAATGGTGGATTTGTTAAAATTTTGTTGAATTTGTCAAAACAAGGCTATTATTAATAATTACTAGTATTTTCACCCGTGCGATGCACGGAATGTAATTGTTGTAATATATTAAGAATACTTAAATCGATATATAATTATTTAAGAGTTAATTTCACCAGAGGTCGTTTATCTTTCCTGACAATTCCAAATTTAATCCTAGACTATAGTTATTAATTATTACAATTTATTCTATGTTACAACTCTTACGTTAATATTCTTACTATTATTATTAACACTTAATTACTTGTAGATATTATTATTACCACTTATATTATTATTATTATATTATTATTATTAGTTTCTTTTCAAGTACTGTTAGTATATAATGGTCGTGAGGCACAATAATAATATAATCATAATTAAATATTCTTGTATTGTATTCCGGAGTTAATGTCATTTTTGGTCCTAGACTTATTGAGGCATTGACATTTTTCATCCTACATAATAAAAATTGCCACTTAGTAGACACTGTTATTGGTCGTTGGACAGTTTTGATCCTCCGTCAATGAAGCCGTTTGTTGACCGTGAGTTAGAAGGGCTTTTCTGTCTTTTTATGTTTTATTCTTCTAATCTTGTTTAGACCAGCGCTGCTATGACTCCTGTGAGGCGAGATGGCGAGACTTGGCGGCTAAGTAGTAACCGTCGGTAGTGAGTAGCAGCGAGGTTCTTCTCCGGCGAGTTGTGGGTACGGCGGCGAGCATACGAGGCAGTAACTCCTTCCGGCGACGGACCAGTAAGGCAGATCTGGCGGTGCAGCAACAGATCCGGCGAGGTTGGGGCTTTCACCGGTGGTTTTTGGTTTCGGCGAAGCAGAGAGGGCAGCAGGTCGGCGAACCCTCCTATGGTAAATAGCAGTTGTAGTGGTAGATGGCGTGATGTAGAATTTGCACCTGTAAGTCCTCCCTTCCATATTGACCACAAATATCCTTCCCATCTCTCTCTCTCTCTCTCTCTCTCTGACCACAACTACTTGGTGCACAACCTCAAAAACTCTGTTATTCTACCTGAAATTCATTGAAGTTTCAAGCAGAAAATGTGGAATCCGCCACTCCCCAAAAATTGCATTGTCTGAGGTGTTGGAATGGCCGGTGTTGACTTCCTGGCTGCTGTAGCGTCATTCCCCAACCCGGATGATAAAATTCGGAGCACCAGCTTTGAGGTTCAAGGAGGTGGTAACACTGGCAATGCTTTGATAAAACCCGGATGATAAAATTCGTCTTGGTCTTAATCCAAGGATCATATCTAAGGTTGCTGATGACTCGCATGACGAAAGAATACTTGATGAGCTTGAAAGGGATGGTGTTGATACATCTTTTATGGTGGTGTCCAAAGGAGGAAACTCACCATTCACATATGTCATTGTTGACAACCAAAAAAAAAAAAAAACTCGCACGTGCATTTTCACTCCAGGATATCCACCCATGATATCTGAGGGTCTACATACCCAAATCAAAATTGTCTTCAGCGCTTGGAGTAAATATTGTCTACTTAGATGGAAGGCTGCATGAGACTGCTTTGATTGTAGTGCAGGAGGCAAAGAGTAGGGGCATACCTATTATAGTTGATGCAGAAAGGTTAAGGGAGGGGTTGGGTGATATTCCTGACTTTGCTAGTTATGTTGTATGCTCGAAAAAATTTCCACAGGCATGGACTAACGCCCTTTCTATTCCAACTGCACTTGTTTCCATTATCTTGAGATTGATGTCAAATGTAAAATTCGTGATTGTTAGTTGGGTGAAGATGGTTTCTTAATGTTAGAAAGGACTGAAGCGGATAACCTCAGTTTGAAGAAATGGATGTAGCAATGACCAAGGGATGGAGAAATACAAGGATTAGAACATAAAAAGACAGAAAAACCCTTCTAATTCACGGTCAACAAACGGCGTCATTGACAGAGGATCAAAACTGTCCAACGATCAATAACAGTGGCTACTAAGTGGCAATTTTATTATGGAGGATGAAAAGTGTCAATGCCCCAATAAGTCTAGGACAAAAAATGGCATTAACTCTTTTATTCCGTGAGTCACAATAATAATATAACAATAATTAAATATTGTTCAATTCTATATTCTACTAGGATTTCTATTACCATCATTAATTATTCCCAAATTTACCATAATTAAATAATTTGACCAATTATAAAGAAAGATTATTAAATAATGCACGGGACAATTGTTTAATTAAAAATTTTAAAAATTCATTAATAAAACATAAGGTTCTCATAGTTTTTTCTTAGAAACTCTTTAATAAAGTATTTTTTTTTTTAGAAATTGGAGGGCCAAACCGCCTACGGCAGTTTGCGGTGGATAGATCTCGAAAAAATACGCGATTTCAAAAAAACATTTGTCCAAAACGGACAACGGAGTCAAAAGTTATGCCTTGCCGAACTTTTGACACTTTACAACTTAAAAAAAAATAAAAATTAAAGGCCGGTTCAGCTGGCGAGGCGGCCACTGAGGAGGCCGATTCCGGCCTTCCTCGCCGCGGCCAGCGACACGATTTTTGCAACACTGATATATAAAATAGATATAGATTAGAATAGGAATAGTATTACACAATTTTATAATATTACAATAAAATTTTAACCCAGAATTATTGTAGAAATGAATATATTTTATTAGAAAGAGAGATTTTTTAGGAATTGGGCGGGAAGTTAAAATTTAAGGATTTTAATTTTATATATAGTATAGATATAGATTGTATTACACTATTTTATAATATTAGAATAGAATTTTAACGCAGAATTATTGTACGAATGGGAAAGTAGAAATCAATATATTTTATTATGAAGAGAGATTTTTTAGGAATTGGGCGGGAAGTTAAAATTTAAGGATTTTGTTTTTGTATATAGTATATATATAGATTGTATTACACTATTTTATAATATTAGAATAAAATTTTAACGCAGAATTATTGTACGAATGGGAAAGTAGAAATCAATATATTTTATTATGAAGAGAGATTTTTTAGGAATTGGGCGGGAAGTTAAAATTTAAAGATTTTGTTTTTATATATAGTATAGATATAGATTATATTACACTATTTTATAATATTAGAATAGAATTTTAACGCAGAATTATTGTACGAATGGGAAAGTAGAAATCAACACTGGCTGCAAGGGACGGATCGGAACACGAAGTTCTTTCATCAGTATGCCACGCACCGTAAACGAAAAAACTCCATTGTGAGGCTTAATGATGGGAATGGGGTATGGAAGGAGGGTGTTGGGCTTGTTTCTTTAGTGACGGAGTATTATAAGCAGATTTTTCAGACAAATGGAGACATGGGTACTTTTGAAGTGGATACCTTATCTCCCCGTGTCACTCGTGCTCAGAATCATGACTTGCTTCGCCCTTTCGAGCCTGCTGAAGTGAAACATGCTTTGTTCGCCATGGGTAAAGACAAATCGCCAGGACCGGATGGAATGAATCCGGAGTTCTATCAGTCTCTCTGGGATCTCATTGGTAAGGAATTTACTGATTTTGTTCTTGCATGTTTATCTCAATCTTCTTTTCCCCCCGAATTGAATGATGCCAATATTGTTCTGATCCCGAAAAAGGCTGCCCCTGAGTTAGTTACTGATTTGAGGCCTATTGCTTTATGCAATGTTGTGTATAAAGTAATGGCTAAGATGATAGATAACCGTATGAAACCACTATTGGATGGTATTGTCTCAGAGTCGCATAGTGCTTTTCTTCCAAGTAGGCTTATTTCGGATAACATCCTTATTGCATCTGAGGTAGGTCACTATCTGAGAAGGAAACAGTTGGGCCAAGTGGGTTGGGCAGCCCTGAAGCTAGACAAGGCCAAAGCTTATGACCGAATGGAATGGAGGTTTGTGGAACGTATGTTGTTGGGGCTTGGTTTTGATGCTAAAAGGGTTAATTTAATCATGTTATGTGTGCGGACAGTCAGGTATAGGGTCCTGGTCAATGGGAAACCAAGTGAGGAGATCTTGCCCACGAGGGGTCTAAGGTAGGGTGATCCACTTTCACCCTACCTTTTTATCATTTGTGCGGAAGGCTTGTCATTATTGTTGCAGGATGCCCAGGCTAAAGGACAGATCCATGGCTGCAGGGTGGCACGTGGGGCCCCTCCCATCTCTCATCTCTTCTTTGCAGATGACAGCCTACTGTTCTTCAAGGCTAACATGCAGGAAACTATGGAGGTGAAACGTTGTTTGGAAGTATATGAGCAATACTCGGGCCAATCTGTCAACTTTCATAAGTCTAACATTTCTTTCAGTCGAAATACTGCGTTGTTAGATAGGGATGCTATTGCCATGGGTTTAGGGGTAGAGCAGGCGGAGGATTTTGGAAAATATTTGGGGCTCCCCTCAGTTGTTGGTAGGAACATGAAATTTTTTTTTTCCTATGTGGAGAAGAAACGGAGACAAAGATTTGGTTCGTGGAATAAGAGGCTGCTTTCTATGGCAGGTAAAGAGGTATTACTTAAAAGCGTTGCTCAGGCAATGCCTACGTACACTATGAGTATATTTCTGTTGCCTGTATCGTTATGTGCTTCTTTGGAAAGATTGATGAACAGATATTGGTGGGGAAAGAGTACCATAGTGGATGGGATACATTGGATGGCCTGGGAAAGGATGTGTGTGCCTAAGAAGCATGGTGGTATGGGTTTTAAGAAGCTGCATGAATTTAATTTGGCATTATTAGGGAAGCAGTGTTGGCGACTTTTAACCAATCCGGATTCCTTAATGGCCCGAATTTTTAAGGCAAGATATTATCGTGATACTACCTTCTATGAGGCCTCCTTGGGTGGTAATCCGAGTTATGTATGGAGGAGCATTATGGTAAGTCAGAACCTGATTCGCAGTGGTTGCAGGCGCAGGATTGGTAATGGTAGAACAACCAAGGTATGGTCACACCCGTAGTTGCCTGACACCCAGAATCCGTTTGTGCTAACTGATCTAGTTGCCCAACACCTGGATCTCATGGTAGCTGATCTGTTGAATCATGATCAGGGGAGATGGAGCCATGAGTTGGTTTCTCAGTTGTTTGATCCCAGGGATGCTGAATTAATATTACAAATCCCTGTGAGTATTAATTTCAAGGATGACTGGTTTTGGAAAGGGGATATCAGGGGACAATATACGGTTAAAGATGGCTATAGATGCCAAGGGGAGTTGAGCACCACCCCAGACGCAGTATGGAACAACATTTGGAAGCTTAGGGTCCCTCCCAAGTGGAGGATTTTTCTATGGAAGGCCCTTTCTAATATTTTGCCAACTATTACCAATTTGGTTAGAAGGAGAGTAGAGATTCCTAATATTTGCCCGGCTTGTGGAGATTATGAGGAGGATATTATGCATATTTTATGCACTTGTATTTATGCTAGACGTGTGTGGAATGTTTCACGTCTTCTTATCCCTAATGTTGATGGTTATGATTTTATGCAGTGGGTGGAGGCTTGGTTGGGAAGCTCAGCAATATCTGCTGGGTTTCTAAAAGAACAAATATGTGGAATACTCTACGAAATTTGGAGAGCTCGGAATATGGCTGTTTGGAATTCTCTTCTACCGACCCCCTCGCACCTTTGTCATGCCTTTCACGGTATTTGGACTGCCTGGTCGTTAATCAACTCGCCGGCTGCGACAGTCGTTCCGGATGCTCCACCCGAACCGGCTGCTCCCCTCGATCCGGCGGCTCCTCTTGTTCCGCCTGCTTCCTTACTGCCGCCAGTACCGGAAGTGTCAACGTCGCTGCCGCTGGGTGTAGTAAGCTGCTACGCCGATGCCGGATTCCACGGCACGTCCCCGTCATTTGGTTTTTATGTATGCAGTGCACAAGGTGGCTTTTTGGCGGCTGCTAACGGACCGCTTATATGCCCGTATGATCCCCTCCTAGCTGAAGCAATGGCAATATGAGAAGCTCTATCGTGGCTACAAGACCACAATTTTCACGATGTTTGGTTTTCTCGGACTGTGCGGTCCTGGTTTCTTGCTTTCGCGATGCGAGTACCTATCGTTCGTACCTAGGTGTTATATTAGATTCATGTTTACAGTTGTTTCGTTCTTTTGACTCTTGCTCCATTAAATTTGTACGCAGAGATGCCAATTCGGTAGCTCATGCCTTAGCAAAACATAATAGTGCAATTGGCACTCGTTCTGTCTGGAGGGACTATCTTCCTTCCTTTGTTTCGTCTACAGTTTAATGCAATCTGATTTTCTTGGCTTTCAAAAAATAAAAAGGACATAAACCATTTTCCATTGATATACAAATTCAATTTTATTATATTAAAATTTTAAATTAAAGAATACATCTCTCCCTATCTCTTTTAGAGTTTCTCTCCGTTTCTCCCTATCTTTTTAGGGTTTTCAATTTTTTTTTCCGGTTTTTTTCACGGTGTCAAGCGGCAAGTTCACGGTGGTTTTTGTACGTCTCCTTCTTGTTCTCTTCTCTCTCGGTCTGGTTCCGTGACAGGTTGTCGTAGGCATGAGTTTCACGGAAGGAATGCAGCGTAAGGAGAGTGTCACTGGGATAACCGAGCGGTGGGCTGACATGGTGTTGGACGATGAAGAGGAGGGTGTGGAGTGTGTGGAGGCTGAGCAGGTTGTTTCGAATGAGGATGTTGCGACTTGGTCGATAGTCAGCTGTTTTCTTACGACACGTTTGATCAAAGTTGAGTTTATGAGTCATGTTATGGCGTCGGTTTGACAACCTGTGAAGGGGGTGCAGGTGTCGGAGCTCTAGCCGAATCTCTTTTTGTTTGTTTTTTGACCACAAAACAGACATGCATCATGTTCTTGAGGGGCCATGGTCCTTTCAAAATCATACTTTGGTATGTTGTCAGGTGGGAGATGGTCAACTCCTGGGTGAGGTGGTTTTGGATTCAATTGATATTTGGATTCAAGTCTACGACCTACCGATGGGCTACACTACTAATGTGGTTTTTGAACAAGTCGAAAACTTTGTTGGCACTTTTCTCCATTGCGATGATAGGCAGTTGGGTGGCCCATTGAAATCTTTCAACCGTATCCGTGTGTCCGTTCCGGTTGCTAGGTCTCTAAAGAGGCGTATGAAGCTTATTCGGCGTGATAAGTCCTGGGGGTGGGTTAATCTGAAATATGAACGACTTCACACGTTCTGTTTTTTCTACGGCATGCTTGGCCATTTGGATAAGTTCTGTCTCAAGGAACGTGATTTAGACCTGCCTCCAGTGCAGCAGCCGGCTGGTGTGGAAACAGTAGCGTCGAAGGATGGTTCCAGCGATGTCCGAATGGAGCATTCTGTGTGTAATTCTGATGTTGGGGTTGTGGCGACATCCAAGAGGCGGAGGGGGGCTGGTGGGAGTGTTGGAAGGGTCGGCTAACCACCGTCTTTGGATTCTACTTTGGGAGGTGGTTCAAAAAACTTGCATTCGGAATGAGTATGTTAAGCTGGAACTATCGTGGCTTGGGCAATCCACGTACAGTTCGCAAAGTGGTGGAGATGGTGTCCTGTAAGAAGCTCGACTTCGTATTTTTTATGGTGACAAAGGTAGGACGTAGCCATGCGGAGCATCTAAGAATTAAGCTTGGATTCAAGGGTTGCTTTTTCGTGGACAATGTAGGGTTGAGTAGTGGACTGGCTTTGCTATGGAGGAAGAATAATTCAGCTCGATTGTTAAGTTTCTCTAGGAATCATGTTAATGTGGAGGTAAGTTTAGGTGGGCGCCCCCCTTGGCGTATGACTTGTTAATATGGGTTCCCCTGAACGTAGTAGAAGGCAGGATGCATGGAATTTACTTCGGTCTCTTGCTGCCCGTGCTTCTCTCCCTTTGGTTGTTATAAGAGATTTTAATGATCTTTTATATCAGTTTGAGAAATGAGGTGGGGTCCCTCACCCAGAGAATCTCCTACGCGGTTTTGGGGAGGCTCTCGATGATTGCAGTTTGTTACCGATGCCCACGGTAGGGTACCCGTACACTTGGGAGCGGGTTAGTGGTACGGAAGCGTGGATTGAGGAGAGACTGGATAGAGTGGTGGGCAGCAGGGAATGGCGTGACTTGGTGTTGGGGGCGAGGGTCACTAACATCCTCACTCGAACATCAGATCACTCAGCCCTCTTTCTTGGGGTTTCTAACCCCGAAGTGGTCGGAGGTTATGGTCATCGTGGGTTTCGGTTTGAGATGGCATGGTTGCTTGATCAAGGATGCAGGGATGTGGAAGAAAAAGCTTGGAGTGATGGAGGTCTTGGTGGCTTGCAGGAGCGTTTGCGACTGTGTGGTGAGCGCTTACAGGGTTGGGGGTGACTGGTTTCACCTGTTTGGCAAGCAGATTAATTTGTTGCAGTCCAAGCTGCTCGGTTTGCATGGACAGCTGGGCACGTCTGCTTTGGCCGAATACAGGGATGTGGAGTTGCAATTGAGCCCGCTAGAAGCCTAGGAAGATGTTTATTGGAGGCAATGGCCGGGTTAAGCAGCACTGGCTACGAGGGGCAGATGCCAACACCAAATTCTATCATAGGTATGCATCCTCCCGTAAACGTAAGAATACTTTAACTAGACTCAAGAACTATGATGGGATTTGGGTTTTGGGGACTGTTATGGTCTCTATGATTTTAAACTATTTTGTGGATATTTTTACCTTTACGGCTACAGTAGACGTTTCTGTGTTCCTTTCTAGTATTGTCACTGCAAAAATTACTCAGAGCCAAAATGATTATCTACTCCGCCCTTTTGAGGAAGTGAAAGCTGCCCTTTTTTCCATATTCCCTGACAAGGCTCCGGGGCCTGATGGGATGAAAGCTTCCCTTTTTTCATACATTGAAGAAAATATTAGATAGAGGATGAGGTCCTGGAATAAGAAGTTGTTGTCCCAGGCAGGTAAGGAAATACTTCTAAAGAGTGTGGCACAAGCTATGCCCACTTTTCAATGAGTGTTTTCCTACTTACTGACTCTTTGTGCATTTCTATTGAGAGAGCTATGAACCATTTCTGGTGGGGGAAGTGTGGTACAAATGGGGGATGAATTCATTGGATGGCATGGGACCGGTTATGTAAACCAAAGACTACTGGTGGCCTAGGTTTCAAGGATTTAAAAGTTTTTAATTTGGCTATGTTAGGGAAACATGCATGACGTTTTCTCACGAAACCTGATTTTCTGATTGCAAGGGTGTATAAGGTCAGGTACTTTACTAAAACTTCTTTCACTGATGCAATAGTTGGTAATAATCCTAGCTACTGCTGGAGAAGTATTATGGTAGCTCATCAGCTAGTCCGCGACGGAGTTAGGAAAAGAATTGGGAATGGGAAAGCTACTTTGGTATGGGTTGATCTGTGGCTTATAGATGGTACTGATCCCCATGTTCAGACACCTATGTCGCCCTATCATCAGGATGCGAAAGTGTCTGGGCTGTTAGACAAAGACTCTCAGTCTTGGGATTTGGACATTCTGCGTGATATTTTTGTACCCTCTGATGTGAACTGTATTCTAAAAATACTTGTTTGCCCGGTTTTTGAGGTTCTGTGGTACTGGCATGGTGACCGAGGTGGATGCTATTTATGTAAAGATTGGGTATAGACGTATTGTGGGGGAGCATGATACAGATCCTAGTGGGTTTGATAAATTGAATGCACTATGGAAGTTAAAAATTTCACCCAAATGGAAGATGTTTCTTTGGAGAGCTATCAGGGGTATTCTCCCTACTACAAACAATAACCTCCTTATAAGGAGAGTGGAAATGTGTCCCTCATGCATTATGTAATGAGGATATTATGCATTCTCTGATCGGGTGTGACTATGCTCAGCAAGTTTGGCATGAATCCCTCCTCCCGATTGCATGTGTGTTAGGGGAAAATTTTGCAGTTTGGTACCGGAATGCTATGTGTATGCTTACTGGTGATGTTATTGTGAAGGTGGCTGTTATCCTATACCACTTGTGGAGAGCCCGGAATGGCGCTGTATGGGATGCGAGCCTCAAACAGCCGCGTGAGGTATGGAGAGGGGCTTTGGTTGCTGTTTCCGCATGGGGGACCGTCGCTACGCTTGCTGCATCAGACCCGACTACAAGCCATTTACCATTGTAGGTTGCTGACGTTGCGGGGGGCTTTGCACGCTGTTTCTTCGAGGCGAGCTGGAGTCCGACAGGGGTGGCGACGTGTGGTGTTGTGCTGATGGGGGCTTTATCGCTGCTATGAATGGTCTCCTCCCTTATTGCACTAATGTTCTAATGGCGGAGTCCCTCACATGTAAAGATGCCCTCTCTTGGTTAAAGGATCAGGGTGTTGACACTGTTACCTTGCATACAGATTGTTCCAGCTTACAATTTTATATCTCGCGTTCGAAACCTAAACCCAGGTCATATGTGTGTATGATCATTGATGATTGTCTGAATCTATTTTCGTTGTTTCCAGTTATTGCTTTACAGTTAGTTGCTAGACGTTTCAATTCGGTAGCACATGCTTTACCTGCTAGAGCTGTTATGCAGACTACTTCCATATATTGGGATTCTATCCCACCTGACTTTATATTTGCTTTGCTGCATTAATCTATTTCAGCTGTTTATGCTTTCAAATAAATAAATAAAAAGGACAAATCTATTTTTTGTCCTCACGTATTATTTGTTAGTTGTTTTAGTGTCTAAGTATTTAAGTTTTAACACCCTAAAAAACAAAATTACTATATTAAAATTTTATTTAGTAACTCGATATTTTACAATTTTATTATCTTTAATCATAATACGTTTTTTTTTTAGTTTTTTTTTTATTTTTTAGTTTTGGTATTTCATTTACAAAATAGAAAATCGGCAATTTTTTCCCTAAACTTTTCATCTTCAATCGTGGTACATTGTTTCTATTTTCCATACACGAAAATGTTAATAACATGCACGTTTTCATTTTTAAAATTAAATATTGAAACTGAAGAAATTTATAATTAAAGAAGAA